AAACCATCCTTCTTGCTTTATATTGACAATATACAAGTGCATTTAAAAACCAGGGTTTCCCCTTCCTTCCCCTTTCCGGATGAGGGAGATTTGTTCTAGCTATATGAAATAAATGAGTTTGTGCTTATCGCATCCTAAGCACGGTTTACAAAGACAACACGATGATGGACTCGAGCGCACGCAGAACAGTTCTGTGTTTGTCATCACATTCAACAATTGATAATTGGAAAAGCCATTAAAATCAACAGAGTGTGTATGTGGATCAAACTTTTCTACAAATCTATTGTGTTCAAGGAAATAAAAAAATCAAAACTAATAGCAATTAAAACCTCGAGCAAACTCCAATATATTAGGCTGCTCTTTTGGTGAAAACTGACATACGACAGCCAGCCCCGAGCATGGAGGACACGAGACCAAGTGCAGGGAGCAGTGAGGTTTCACTTATCGGTTGTACGTTCAAGTAATTGGTTGCCTAGTTACAGGCATTAACATTTGTTTTGCTGGGGGCTTATTGCTGAGCTGGAAATCGGACTGATTTTTAAAATATGAAATCAATTTGTTCACTAATTATTTTTGAGATTCATCTTGCACTGGAAAAATATAAAACACACCCAAAGGAAACTGTAGGGGATGGGAGAAGAAAAAAATAAGAATTCCATCTGCAGAGACTTCTTTCTGCATCCCCTATATGTTTCGGTGGACAAGATTAAAGGGATTTTTTTGAAAAGCCTCTTTAATACTTAGGATCGCAGCTAGCAGTGCAATACTGATGCAAATTTAGAAATATTCATTTCAATTAGTGTCAATGAGAACAGAATCTAGGCTACTGATTTTAAAGCCTCAAAAATTCTACCAGTCCATCAGATCCTCTGCATCTATTTCCTTTTCACAACTGCATTATAATGTAGTGCTATTATAAGAATTCTTTTAAAATATCTCAAAATAATTAGTCAGAGCTATGACACAAGCATGAAAATTATCCAGTATTTTAATGCTTAATGTCCACAATTCATTTATATCTAGGCAAAAAAAAAATCAGATTTAGAGAATATTTTCTTATTTATTGGCAGTAGATATACACTAAATCTGGGGCCACTCGCTGTTCAGGGATTGCAGATTTCTCAGTAGCTATTTTGACATTCTGCTTTCTGTAGCTGGAAGGGAAAACAGCTGCTTTGGAACACAACAGTTCTAGGACCCTCATCATTACTTAATGTCAGCCTAGACTGCAGAATGACTAACTCAGAACATGCTCAATTTAGGGATGTTGTTGGCCTTGAGGATGTTGGGACAGTTCTGCCTGAGCTTAAGGTCGCAAAGCCCTAGGGAGGGCTGTGATCTTGGCCTTTACAAGCTGCCCACGAGGACTGCTTCCTTTTCTGACAGGTAGTGGAACAAAAACCACTACAGGGTTTTACACGGCACAAACAAGAGTCAGCCCATCACAGCTACTGGGACAGATAATTGACAAATACTACTCAGCAGGTTAGTACAAATCCACAGACTGATACAATACAAACAACATCATAAAAAATGAATGGGAAAGAGCACAAATGCAGATTAGGTAAGTTAGAGTATGTGTATTGTGCACTGTCTAATTTATCTATGAGATTTCATTTAGACACAGCAGCTAAACAGAAGTAGAATAGGAGAAAAACTGAAGTCTGAAGAGTGGGAGTGATTACTCCCATGGTGCAATAAAGCTATTAAGAAAGTCTCTGCATAACAATTATAGCCTATTTACATTCCGTAATTATTTAAAAGTGAGAAATGAATCAACAGGGTAAAAAAAAATCTTCCCATAAATTACTTTTGGAAAAATGTTACATTCAGTGCATTATATTCAAGTAATAACCAGCCATTCAAGCATACCTTGATGGGCTAACACAGATACATTCACAGAGAGAATGGCTGAATACACTCCAGTAGAAATGGATTTGCATGTCAATAAAGTCACATTAGGGTATATGTCACCCAGCGCTTGTAGTACCAAAGCTAACATCCCCAACAATTTAACAGGAAAACTATCATGTAGATATAAGCATATGGAATGACAGAGCCAGAGCTACATATGCACATGGAGATTTTAGCTTTACCCAGTATAAAAACTTTTATTTGACTGCATCACTGCAGTATCTTACCCTTCTTTGCCGATCTCTCCAACTTTCAGTGCTTCACCAAGAGGCTCTTTACCCAGTTTAGTCAAGTTCATTTTGGTCTCCAGGGTCATTAGAAAAGACCCATTGTAGGACATTTCCAAATCAATCCAAAGTCCTAGAATTAACAATAAGTGACGATCACTTTATTTTAATAGTATAAAAAAAGTTAAATTTGTACACACCGTAACTGCTTAAGAAACTTGAATCAAGACAGCTGATACATCTGGAGCAGTACTGAAGGAAGCTGCTTCTTTACTAACACAAATTCTTTTTTTAAATAAAAAAATAAAACTTCATTTTATAGTTTATTCTTTTCTGTCATGCTTTAATGCTCTATCAACCAAAACACAAGAACTCAAACACAAGCTTACATTTTTTTCCCCCCAATAATGAAGTACTACTAAGATCGTCAGAAAGCAGAACGCAGCAGCTCAGCAGACCCTCCACAGGGCCAGGGAGTCGGCATGCCTCAAACTCCAGTGCTATTCTAACAGTAGATCAAATTAAGTAAAGGAAACCATTAAAACCAGATTACCAAGAGAGGATATTCCTTCTGGCCAGGAAATGCTCATACACTTTTTCTAGCAGGGGGGTACAGGGGAGGAGGAAGGGGGAAGAACCGGGCAGATGGCACAATTTATTCAGATATCTGGTTCTCTAGCCTTGACAGAAGAACAGTAAATACTAGAGCATATGTTGTCACCCAAATAGAACTGTATCAACAGGATTTTTTTTTTGTAAATATTGTCTGTTATCATCTTTACTTATAGCCCTATAAACTCTCTTTCTCTTTTTCTTGTTCTAGTCCTCTTTTAATCAAGCACTGATAGAAAAGCATGTATGTCTACTGGATGAAAAAAGCATAGTCCTTCACATCCAGTAACTGGCCACATTTCCCTGCTTCACAAGGATGGTCTCAAATAGGTTCTAAAAAAACCCTAAAAGCTTTAATTCTGGATATTAGCCTGGAGTTTTTTTCCGTTAAGATTATTTTCTTTTAGGTGGGAGTACTTCATAGGCCAATATACTAGCAAGTCATTCTTTTGGAAATAAAACTGTGCAATCATGATATCCTTATTTATATACATTCTTTTAAGAACTACTGCAAAATGAATTATGAATTGACACTTACTGCAAGTTCCTAAGAAACACTCAGATACTAAGAGTCTACATGTGATTTCCTTCATATTGTCAAATGACAAGGATTACAAAATCTCCCATGTCACAGTTCATCTGAACGAGGACCTGAAGGAGTTAACTGTTCCCACCGGTATTGTCAGTAATTAAGTAGTGAAGCAAACATCCAGCAATCTCCTAAATCCCATCTCGTGACTTAGAACTGCAGTCCTCACTTATAACTGAAATCATTAGAACAGGAACAAAGGAATTCAAAAAACATGTACATCTGTTTGACTCAGATAACCTCTCCATAAAAAAAATAACCTTAAAGAAAACTGCAGGGAGAAATTCACCCCTGTACACACCTACTATTGTGGTTCAATATTCCTGCAACACGGCGCAATGCAAAGGGAAACAAGCTACGCACACATTTTGCACAGGAGAGCTAGTGAAGACTGATGCCCTTATGATTTGTTTAGCGTAAGCTAAAATTGTAAAACTGTAATGTAAGCAAAGCACTTAAATTCATTCTGGGTATGTCAGTGAATTTTATAAAAGTTACTTATGCCAGTAATACATACGAGAAATTACAATATTCTAAGCATGAATAACTGTCGTCAAGTAAATATCTGACTCTAAAAAGTTGCAAGAAAATTGGTGAAAAGATCAGCAACAGATAACCTGGTTCCCTATTCCGACTTTAACCAACTGCTCTCTCTATGTTTTGTGTTATTGATACTTGCTGGCGTTTTGGCCCTTTGCTCCTCTGTAATTTAGGGCCTCTCTAGTGGTCTCCAGCACACTACCTATTGCATTAAATTCATATCGACTCACTGACAGTTCATGTGTTAATGAACTTCATCTGGAAATGACCTTATTTTGGTATCTTTGTCTAAAAGTTAGAAAAGCAAGTTTAAACCAAAGCTGTTTGCCAAGCAAGCCACAGCTGCATCACCACAGGTCCTCCAAGGGAGTTCTTCCCTTTAGACCAATTAGAAACTTCTCCACCATTAGCAAAGTAATTCTCTTGCAGATTGACTACATTTTCCAGCCTGACATTGCAATATGGTAAGCAAATAAAGGGATGAGGGAAGTCAGAGGATCTTATTCTTCAGCTTTGTTTTCTGGTTTGTTAGGATTGTATTTTTCTGAATCACAGGTTTCAGAGCAGGACAACAACTCTTGAAGCATGTCACATCTTGTCTGCTATGCTGTAGAACCAGCTCTCTCTTGATGAGACCTGCATTGGTCTCTGCAGTGCATGACAGATGCTGGCATGCATCTGCTCCTGTGTTGTATGTGCATTTAGTTTATGTGCACTTCTGTAACTGCTTACATATTTCAAGTGGAAAGGCATCCATATTTCTCTAACTCCTATAGCTTCTTTCAATTATGATTATACCAAGCCTGATGTGACTGTTACTGAAAACAGAGAACACTTAGCATCTCCTAAAAACGAGCTTTTAAGAGCTCTCATGAAGAATACGTTTCCTCAAGTAGAACACACACAACATTAAAATTCTGCTCTAGATGTTATGAAGGCATGTTCTGGCAAAAATTGAAAATGAAATTATTTTACCTTTGTGATCAACAGAAGGTTTGAAGGCTTGAAGGATCTTCGGCACTGCTATCCCCATATCAAGTTCAGTTAGAGTTAGTTCATTCATAAAGTATGGCAGCTAAAGAAAAGGACATAAGAAAATCCATGTTATGAAACTAAACATTACTGTTTCCTGAAACTGGAAAGACATTAGATTTTAAAAATGGATTGAGCTGAAACATTACCAGCGAAAGAATACCAATATGATTATGTGAATTTCTTCAAATTCTAGAATTGCACATTTGTCAGTTTCAAAGTAATATTTTAAGGGAGAGATTTATCATCTGAACTTGAAGTGAAAATGTTTTTAATCTACATTTCAGTTCAGAGCCTGCCACTGACTCTAACTGAGATCACTGGTATGGTTTTTCATCAAAGCACATAAATGGCTAAATAACAAAGTATAAATCCTATTTTGCTGTGAATAAAAACTAAAGACTTTGTTTTTGAAGTTCAGTCATATATTTTATAGTGGTAGTCACATCAAAATCTTAGCTATTTTTATTTTTGGTAAATTCTACCCTGGCACATTAGCCTTAAAATCTGAATTATAATTCTAGTATTACAAAAGTCATTGCATTTCTGTGATGGTATTTTTTGTAGAACTTCTCTGAACTAGAAATATTTATCTGCTGTGAACAGATAGGGCGCTAATCTATCAAAATACATCCATCCCCCATTCCCTATCTTTCCATTGAAATGTTTCCAATGAGATGTTTGAATATCCTGCTGTCATGACTGTGGAAATAGCCAGCATAGAATTAGGTTACTGCTTATTTCCCCAAAGCACAAGCAACGCTATCTCACAGCTGGTGGGGGCAGCTAAATTTCAGAGCTTGTCAGCAAGAGTATCTCTTTCTTTGCCCTTAGGACGGGGTGAACTCCTCCCCAAACATCAGGGACTGGACAGCCCTGTGATTAACTGCTGCTTCTGAGAAGGCTACAGAATGCAAAGGGAAGACCTGAAGTCATCCAAAAGCATCGGTTCTCCTCCATCCTTTGAACTTATGCAGCAGATACACAATTATATCCTTTCACCCATCAGACAGCTGGTACACTGACTGTCACTCCCATCGACCTCTTCCGCTGGCAGCGTATATTGAAAGTTATATAAGGTTTACAAACACCCTCATCTCCTCCTCCTTAAAGGCAGTCTAACACTTCTCAGAGCAGACTTCATTTTCTTCGAGTTCTGCATCTGCATTTAGTTTCTATTCATATTTCTAATGTGTGTTTGGGGAAACCAAAAGCACTGTAGGTCTATAGCACTAGCTCTAGAGACATATGTCAGGAAGGTTTAATACTTTATAAGCGGTTCTATTTATTCCTAAGTAAATACAGTAATACTTCCACTTTTCACATAGGAACTTGGCAGACACAAATAGTTAATTCAGCTGTAGTTCATTTGAAACCAAGGCAACAAAGCTAAGTTGTCAAGATCCTACTGTGAAATTGATGGCAAAGCTCAACTGGAAATCTGATTCACATTTATTTACTCATTTGTCTTTTACAGTGCCCTGGATATCTAAATTAGTGGGTTTTTTTTTCCTACTATTTCTGATCCCAAAGCCCATATTTGTTTTCCTCTGTCAGGAATAAGGAGTGCAAGACCCTAGAGTAGTTACCTTTATTTTGCTGAGTTTCATCTGGATCTTCTTGGACACTAGATCAGACCAATACTTTTCTCCTAAAAAATCCCAAAATATTCTTCCAACGAAAGCATTCACCCATGCCTCCTGTTCTTCTTCTTCTTCTTCTTCTTTTTCTTCAGCTGCTACATGGGCATCTGGCAACTGAAAACACAGCAAGTTATTCAGTTTTGGAAAAGCTGCAAACTACGATCAGAAAAAGCCTCATATGCAGTGGGAAGTTCAGTGGATGGCTACAAAACAGTAAACACTCAGCACAGAAAGCAGCTTTAAAATCATGTCAGCTGGCCCGACATGAGCTTGTTTGTGATCATTCTGATGTGCCACAGAGGGAATAAGACCATACAGATATAGATTCACCTCAAGCAATGAAATAAGGAAGTCGTAAGTATTTTAACTGCTGGTAGAAAAACCAGATAAGACCAGAGTGCAGACCAGCCCAAACCACATACAAATGTGTAGTGTCTAACACCGACTTTCTCCCTTCTCAGTAGGGCCTCAAAGAACAGTTAAGCTATTCTTTTTGCTTATCGGAAAAATATTAGAACACCACCCAACCTCACATCCTTAAATTCTGTTCACAAATAGAAAGACAAACAGAGCACAGGGAAGAACACTTCTTCCTGGTGTGCATATATTGGATTCAGAAAAACATATTGTTCCTTCTGCTACATTAGAGGTTTTGTTTGCAGTTCAAGAGGATTATTTCTTAGTTCATTGAGGACCATCTCAAAACACTTGATATTATATACCAGGATGTTGCATAACTGATTACAGACATAAAAGCAAAGCCATCTGAAATAATCTGGAATGTGTACATGCTGCTGTGATCTCTTTCAAACCAGGAAGTTTGAAGGAAAAACAGTATGAACGAAAGACACCATATTTAACAGCTCAACTTCCTGTAATGAAAGGAGAATTATCCTTTCATTATTATAGGCAGAAAGTCTGAAGCCAGCAGAAAAGCAGTGCTTTATGAGAGGAACCAGGTAGATGATCCAGTTGCTCTAAAAATGCTGAAGAGCATTTCTTAGCAATGACTCCTCTCCGTGGCTGCAGCCTCACACAGGCAGAAATTGCTGGGCTGGTGGCTTATTCTGTGACACACGTTTC